GGCCAAACTCTTAACCGGTGAGGAGCGTATAATCCGTACAGTACTGCACGGAAAAAATGACCATTTTATCCACTACAATTGCATTGCTCAAATGTGCTGTTATTGGTACCATTTACTACTGAAAATATCAACGAGATGTTTGTTTATATTTGAAGACATATTAAAGCCTTTAACGCTTGTTTTTGACTCGCACTACTTTTCATGATTGAACAAAACTTTTGGCAGGTACTGTATGAAAACGTATATTCAATGAACAAGAGTCGAGAGTATAATGAGCCTTTTTCTCCCTACCTACGATTTGGCAACGTGCATCCAAGACATTGGAAGGGGCACATCGCTACAGAAAGTAAATGAAGTATAATACACAAATACACAATTTAAATAAATATCTGAAAGCTTATTTGTGTATCAGTTCCGAGTGACTTACCCAAATAGGTCATAAACCTGCGCGACCGTTCGCCAGCTGCCTTTGTCCGGCCTGTACATGCATATATGTTTCTTTCGTAAAATTTCCCGTTATTTCGAATTGCACTAGCAGCTTTTACGTACAAATAAAATTTAAAAAATCATTCGCAAAAGTACGCATTTTTGCTCTTAAATTGATAAAATAAAATATAAAATGAAAAAAGATAAAAATAGGACGTGGGCACATTTTCTCGGTAGACAAATTTTTCAGAAGTGAAAATCTTCGTTTACTTCCCTAAACACACTACTAAAATATAGAGTAACTAACAAATATTGTTAAAATTTCCAAATACATTTGTAAACTTCTAACTTAGTTTTCTTAGCATAATTCATAACATTAATTTTGAAATGAACAATGATTCCTTAAAAATTATTAAACTATTGTAATATTAATTTACTACAGCATATATAATTAAATTTCATAAGCAATATTTACCTGCAGTAACGATTCTTTGTTGACAAATTAGTACTACTATTATAAGTATTCATGACTAACTAAATTAAATATCCTGCATGTTCTCAAATGTGCATAATGTACATACATATCTAACTACTGCACTTGATGCGTTTAGATACGTGGAAATATCTAGTATTTTCGATATGATTAGGTCATATCTTTTCTAGCAGATACAGATTATGTTAATTTTACAGCAAATATAGAAAATGCAAAGATAGAAACTATTGATTGCAATACGAATGATTTTAGATAATAAATTTGTTAGTGAATTAAAAAGTTTGAGTTACATATTGCAATACCAATTAAGTCACACCTAATTTTTACCCGCTTTTATTGAAACATAAAGTTACTTCTGAATATTTCTTACACTTTATTATATAGGGTTGTTCGGAAAGTCATTTCGTTTTTTTTTTGTGGAAATGAAAGACAGTTTTCGTATAATAAACAAATACTTTATTAAATTATATATTGACCGTTCTGGTCCAACACCTTTTGCCATCTTTCTGGTAGTAGCATAATTCCACGCTCATAAAATTTTTGGTCTTTGCTGGCAAAAAAACTGATCGAGGAGGTTTTCGACCTAATAGGCGAGATAGGTTAGTAGGACAGCTTCTCAGACATGAAGGTCTATTTAGAGACATATTAGAGATAGAAACGGAAGTTAGGAGGGATAGAGGTAGACCTAGATTAGATTACTCTTCGCAAATAGTTAAGGATGTGGGTTGCTCTAGCTTTAGGGAAATGCGAAGATTAGTGCAGGATAGGAAAGAGTGGAGGTACGTGTCCAACCAGCCTTAAGACTGACGACCTTATGATGATGATAGGATGAGACACGAGGAGCTAGTTTGAGAGATATTATAAGCAAAAGTAGGATTAAAAAAAATTACTAGATTAGGCTACTGTTCGCAAGTAGTTAAGGATGTAAGATGTTCTCATTTTAGGGAAATGCGATGATTTACTCAGGATAAGAAAGCGTGGAGGTGTGTAGTTTTCGAGCTGATGACCCTATGAAGATCATAACCTACTAACTAACATGTAAGCAGAAGTATAACTTCCACCGAGCGCACAAGTTTTTTGAATTATACCAAATTCTTCCCAAACTACTGTATAAAGAAAAACGTTAGTCCTTTTCGTTCCTCATCTTGTTTAATTTATTCATATGAGTCTTGTAAATTTTGTCTCGCAGGGTTTTAGTTTTACTATCCTGGTATTCCATTAGGCAATCAAATTCTTCTGGAGTTAAGCCAGTTCTAACTTTACATACGAGATTGTCCATTCTCCTTCCCAGATGTTTAGGATGGGTGTTGACGTCATCAATTTGGAGATTCAGGATCTTCGTTTGGCAGCGAGTAAGCCAAGTATCAAATCGTTTTTGGTCTCTCCTACTGTCGAATTTTAGTAGGTTCAAGTTCTTCGTTATATTTATGATAAAATCTGGTGTCATGTCTTCTGTTCGGCGGGTTAGCAAAAAGATTCTCCTCCTGGTATGACGAACTAGTTTGTTCTTGGTTGACATGAGTTCTCTTATGTCAGCCATGGTATTTTCTTCGTATTTGTTCCTCATCTGGTCCATAATGTTCGTGTATTGGAACAATGAGGTGTTGTACAACGTGCTTCCAGGCGTATCACGTGAAATTTAATTTTGTCGGTGAATTTGACTTATTTAATTTGTTATATGAATTTAATTTTGTCAATAAATCAAATTCACCGACAAAATTAAATTTTACATAAATAAGTTAGTCCTTTTAATTTCCCTTTTAATATAATGTTGTAACTTTACGTTCCTGTTGTGTTTGTATCAAGTGTGTTAGTTGGAGATTACCATACAGTAGAATAAACATCACGGAAGTGACGGTGTGTGACCTATGCATTTTGATAGCGAATAACGGAAATGGGGTAAAGAGAAGGGAAAAATCAAGAAAGAAGCAGAAACGACAGTACAACGTCCCGTAGCACCGCGCGACATCCTCCTACTTCTGAGCGGGATCTGTGCAATTACATTGTATTCTCGAGGGATTTTTAGTTGAAATGAAAGCTTTACGGAAATGTTGAAATAGCACGCGTATTACTTTGACGTTTGAAAATATCTAATACATATAAACGACGTAAGGGAATATATGCAGTACATAAAGGGTGGTTATTTAAGTGGTGAGGCAGGGGCATGGTCGAGAATCCAGATCACAGCTTTGCTTCGAAGAAGCAACTGATTCGATCGTGGGTCCGACTATATTGCTCCAGGGTTTTCTATGATTTCCTAATT